AAAAAAGCAGCTGTTGAATGTATCCGCCATCAAAAATATGTTTGACAATGAATGAAATAAAATGGTCAGAAAAACTGAAAAAAAATAATTAACTCATTTTCATATATGGAAACAAAAACAGCTGAAAAACAAAATATCTGTCTGTCTGGTGGTCAGTGGTAAATTTCATTCCATAGACGTCATCGATTTTTGATTGTTGATTTTTCTGTTTGTTTGTTCAATGAAAAACAGAATTTTGTTTTCAAACAAAACACCCATACATATGTGAAAAATTATGTATCAATCAGAATTTCTTGAGAAATGAAATTTCAGATAAATTTTTTTTTTTGTAATTTTAAATTTGGAGGTAATAAGTGTTGTACGTGATATATACATTTGTACCTGAATGTAGTTAATTCAAAAAAAATGATTAAATGATGAGGATGATGATTGAAAATTGTTTTTTTCTTCTGATGACGATCGTTTGATTATTACCAGAATTTTGGATTCTGTTTTGTTTTTTTTTTTTAATTCGAAATCGAATGATTCATCCATTTGTGAATGGAAATTGAAAGAATTTTCCTAGAAGAAATTTTTCTTGGAATTTTCTCCTTTTAACACAAACACAAACATCATCATCGAATATTATCAAAATTATTGGAATATACATCACAAGGTCAATTGAATTTTTTTTTATTATTTCATGCTACAAATGCGAAACAAGCAAGCAAACAAACAACAAGATTAACAAATTTAATCGATTCATTTCCAACAACGAAACGAAAAAAATCTCATTAATTCGTTTTGTTTTTTACAAACATATTACCAAATGAAGAACGAAATTAATTAATTTCATCAATCAATTTTTTTATGTGTTCAACAAACTTGAATTTTTTCATTTTTCCTTTGGTTTTGGCTTTCTTCTTCTTCTTCGTCGTCTTTGTGTTTTGTTTTTTTCCCTTTCTTTACCATCATCATTATTTTTTTTCGAGTGCATCTGGATCGTCAATGTGAAAGAAAAATTGAATGGAAAAATATCCAGTTTTTCGAGGACACCATCGATGGTGGTGGAGGCGGTCGTCTTCATCGTCTTCTTCTTCGATCATCATCGATGATCGTGATGTTCAAGCGAAGAAAAAGAAATTTTACTTTCATGATTTCACTTCTATTACGTGATGGAATACACAAGGCGAAGATATTTATACACTTTATACAAGTCTTTTTTTCTTTCAAAGAAGATCAAAATAAAAGCAAAGCAAAGCAAACATACATAATATTGGCCATCATTTTTGAACAACAAGAAGAACCTGAATCCACCAATACACATGCTGTATATGTGCTTTTTCAAAGATTTTCTTTCATTTCTTTTCGATTTCATCATCATCACTGTGTTGCTAATAATTTCACCAGGTAGAAATGAATGGTGGTGGTGGGGGAAGAAAAAAAAGGCGAACCTTTTTTTCAGGTTTTTTTTCTTTCTTCGTGTTCATCAATTTTTGCCTGTATGAGACTTTCCATCATCATCATCATCATCATTATACACCGCCACCATTCACTTTTCACCTGTTCAATGATTTTGATGATGATGATCCTTGACTGGTGTAAAGTGTGTTGGTTGGTTGGTTTGGTTTGGTTTGTGAAACCTGTTTGAATTCTATTTCTTTATTTAGGTTTTCTTTTCATTTTTCCATTCATTTTCTTCTTCTTCTACTAATGATTCAGTCTGTTTAATGTTCAAATCATGAACATCTCTCGCTCGCTAGCTTTTTTCTTATCATCATCATCATCAATTCGTTATTATTATGTCAGTCGAGATATAAGATGATGGTGACCAAAATTCCGAATAACAAGAAGAGTGAGAGAGAGAGAGAGAGAGAGAGAGAGAGAGAA